GCAAAGCACGTGAAGTACTAGGAGCTGGGCACTATAGGAAAATGCAACAGTAACCAGGCTATGGAGGCCCCATCTGCTTATTACTTGTTTTCTATATCTTTTAAAATACAGCAGAGACATCAATTGGATAGAGAAAATAGGTTTCTCATGGTTTCAAAGAACATTATTTTTTACTTTTGTTTTTAAATTAACTTGAAGTGCCATTTATGGTAGGTTTACAGTTTCTTTTATATAATTAGTCCAGATTTCCCACTTTAATTCTTCCTATGGTTTTATGATAGTTTTTGAACATTTGGTATAAAAAAATTAGTTCTAATACTGTCACAGAAAGAAAATAAGGTTAATAAGTCCTCGTGATAGTTGCTACACATTGTGTGAACACAGTGCAATTACAAACAGAATGCAACATTATTATGATATGATATGATATGATATGATATATATATATATATATATATATATATATATATATCACTCATACACACACACAAGTCAACCTCATTTATAAGTTGAAGGCAGGGTTTGGGGGCCAAAATCATGGATTTTACTATTAGCACTATTAGATTTTACTATAAGTCAACATGAAATAGAGAAATGCTTTCTTTGTTATGTGTTGACTTGGGAAGAGCTAAGGAGAAGAAGAGGTCTGTTTATTTGAGGGGTTGCAATTGGGGGGGGGGGATCCAGAGGCGGCCCTAGGTAATTTTCAATGGTAAGCAAACAGTATTTTGGCACCCCCAACCAATCACTGATATATATTTTCTGTTTGTCGTGGGAGTTCTGTGTGCCATATTTGGTTCAATTCCATCACTGGTGGAGTTCAGAATGCTCTTTGATTTTAGGTGAACTATACATCCCAGTAACTACAACTCGCATATGTCAAGGTCTATTTTCCCCCAACAGCACCTCAAGAGCGCCCTTGGGCAAAATCAACTGTACTGCGAATGCTTACTTTGCGTAATGGTTGAGCCGCCCCGGGGGGGGGGGGGGGATACAAATTGTATTACTCATCTTAAAATGTTCACACCTTTAGAAATATAGACAAGAACATATAGGTAAGAAATAAGTATGAGCCTGTGGCTTGAAAAAAGGACAGAGAAGAGCTAAGAAGGCAGCCTGCCTCTAATAGGGATTTCAGCACAAAGACAGTGACAAGAGCCAGACCTGAGAAACTCCTCTTGACATGGTGCATTGTGGAAGCAGCGCTCCTGCCCCATTATATGTCCTTTGCCCAAACCAAAGAAAAAAAAGAAAGGGAACACATCCCCCACTTCCTAAGAAATGGGGCTACAAAGTGGAGTCCACCACGTGTGAGTGTGGAGAGGAGAAAACTACAGTACACCTACTACAATGCAGCCTGAGCCCTGCCCACATGCACAATGGAGGACCTTCTCACAGCGACACAAGAGGCACTCCAAGTGTCCAGCTTCTGATCAAAGAACATTTAGCATAATGCCAATTTTCAACTTTTTTGTGGTTTTTCTATACATTATAACTGTATTCGCAATTCACTTCTGATGCGATAAATAAAATAACTGTCATCCGTTTCCAGCACTGATCTGTGGAAAAGTTGACTCAGATTTTTGGAGTTGATTTTTATCCCCCCCAATCCTTTGAATTTATATAGGAATAACTATGGTTATCATCTTGCTCCCATGCATGGTTGCGTGGAAATAAACCTTGCTGAAACTCACTACACATTTTCATATTCAGAATTAGATTATTATTATTATTATTATTATTATTATTATATTATAATTTCTCAGTGTTTCAGCATTTTAAAGATGGAAATCATTTTAAAAACAGAAAATTTGCAGTTTGCCTTAGAATGGCAGCTTTTGATCTCTCATTCGTTTTCAAATGTAGAGCTCTTGAGATGTTTGTTACATTCACACAAGGGAAAAGAGATTCCGCTATTTTATTAGGCTGTTAACTAACTGCATGTTTCTTTTTTTCCTAGTTTTTCCCCACATTGAAAAATCAATATATATCAGTGCATGCATTTGGTTAGCAGTGTACACATTTATCAAACACTTTTGTTAAAAGCACCAAATAAGGCATTTTACAAAATGCGAGCAAACCTGCAATTCTTATTTTAAGACATCTTTTGCTCCTAAGTATCTGAAGATGCTTTGAGGGGAAAATATTATTTTATTTCTGCTGCAGCCACCAGTGTGAATCAAGGGCAGCTATATATAGATCATCTGCAGTTTTGCCGTTTTGCACGATAGGCTTTATAAAACACGGGAGCTGTCAAAATGGATAAGTCCAATGGTCTATCAGGTTTAGAGCACTAGGCATGGAAAACTGCGAAGAAGAAGATAATTGAGTAATTATACTTGGGAAGGAGTGATAGACTCCAAGCTGTTAAAATTATCACACTGGACCAGTCAAATCCTATTAAGAATTGGATTGATGGGCTACTTTTCTAGGAGCTGCTTTAGTGAAGCGCTGCTTGCATGTCACTTGCATCTCTGATAGTTTGCATACACACACACACACACACACACACACACACACACACACACACACACACACAAATATATATTTGTGACATTGTTAGGGTGATATAAAGCTTCACCACCATTTTATGACTAAAGTAACATTAGCTCACAAAAATGATGGGCTAGAGATGAGTCCATGAGTGGGTGAATCTTCTCAACCAAGACCAATGTGCTAAATGCTACATGTCATGGCTCTCAAGTGATGCTACTGTCAAAGATACAACTCTATGGGTTCAGAAGAAATTAGAGCCTATGCAAAAAGCAGACCTGCAGTATTTCTGAGATAGGCTTTGATCGCTTCTTTAAACAGCATATGTGACTCTGATCCATTAATTGTCTCACTGTCTCTTGCAAGACAGAATTACAGGAAAAAAAATATGAAAATATCAAAACATTGTCGAAGGCTTTCATGGCCGGAATCACTGGGTTGTTGTAGGTTTTTCAGGCTATATGGCCATGTTCTAGAAGCATTCTCTCCTGATGTTCACCTGCATCTTTGGCAAGCATCCTCACAACCTCTGAGGATGCTTGCCACAGATGCATGAAACATATTAGGAGAGAATGCTTCTAGAACATGGCCATACAGCCTGAAAAACCTACAACAACCCAATATCAAAACATTAAAGTATTTTGGCAATTCAACAAAGCAGAGTGTAAAGATGGTTAAGAGATCAGGGTCTCTTATTGCTCCTGTGTGACAGGAATATGCGAGGGTGTTACAAGTGATGAGAGAGAAAGGTGTGTGTATATGGTAGGTTTGCTGCCACCACCTCAAATCACTGCTTGAGGAATTGTCTAGTAGTTGTAGCTGAGGTAAAACATCCTGATACACCGGTTCCGCTTTTTTGGCTCCCTTTCTTTTGTGACTGGACTGCAGAGATGTAGAGGCTCACTGTATCTGGCGCTATATGATAAAACAAGGCTGAGGCAGATTAAAAGTAAACTAGAGAACAGGTTTATTGAAATGTTTGAAACAGACAACTCATTACTGAGTGGTACATATGCGTAGTTGGTTTCTGAGGCACAGACTTATAAAATAAATGGTTGCTTAAGAAAGAGTAACTTTTCTTTGATGTGAGTTACTTTCATCACACTATTCTATAACAAGTAACAGTGTGTTTCTCAGACCAGCCGCCCTGGCTGCCTGCGAGAGTAACTAGGTTCCTTCTAGACTACTCTGCACTACAGGGAAATAAACCCACTTGTATTCTCTCCAAATACAAGTCAACAAGCCTTCTCTTTGACTGTCAAAGCCAAAGTACCCTGAAGCACTTGCCCTCTATTATTCCCTCCCAGTCTAATTCTAACTCACTCAGAAACTCTCTTCTCCCTGCCTGAAAATCCTAATCCTATCTCTTTCAGATCAAATCCCTCTTCTCTCTTTTAGATCAAAACCATCTCTCTCTAAGATCAAATCATTCTTCTCCCTCTCTGACAGAAAGTACAGCCTTTTACACACTCCTTCAACTCCTCCCCTAGGGGTCTGAGCCAATCAGGAGTTAGCTGACTCCTCCCCTTGCCTCTCTGCCCTTCCCAACATGTCAGCTATCCTGAACACCCTCCCAACATGGAGGCCTGCTCACTGACTCCCAGGCTGTCGCCTACGAAGCAAAGGTATGAGTTCACTACACAGAGAAAATCCCAAGCCATTATATTTCTTCCAAATCCATGTGAAGCAAGTAAAATTCCAGTTAGCTTCCCTAAATGCAGCATAATAAGAATTAAAGAGAAAGTGGGATTAGACTCACTTATACCACCGTCATACACTCCATCTTCTTTCAGCTATTGTGATAACACCAAATGGCTTCAAAAAACACTTGTATCATTTGGCTGAAGAATTAACTCCTCTTTTTTAAATTTCAGACTGGAGAGAACAAAAACCCACCGATGCATTGTCAAGCACAGATACTTATTCATAACTCTGTGGAGGGTAACTCCTTCTTTGACCACTTGACTGTGGAATCAGTATGAATACAAAAATTCAAGTGATTGAAAGATGCTGGTGTATAACAATTGGAATCTGCCAAGTGGCACCAGGACTGTTGAAGAGTAGAAAGCATGTTCCTCCTGTTCAAATACATTCTATTCTGAATGCCTTAACCGTCTCTCTTTGTCTCAACATTTCTCCTTTCTTAGTTCAACTGATTTCAGAGGCAGACAATGCTCTCCTTTCAAGTCGTCTTACAATGTTCCCTTACCACTTTTCCGGCCATCAGAATTGAATCCTTATTTACATGTCAAGTACAGAAGACCTTCCAACTTCCACAAACCATATTTTGTTCTGTTCTTTGCCATACCAAAACTCTGTGGTCTGGGACTTTATTCATTCCCACTGGCATCAGAAAGGGGGGAAAAGGAGGGAGGCAGTTGCAATTTCCCCCTATATCCAGATTATATTCCAAAACAATATCTAGATTTTTGTGTGTGTTTAGAACTGTAGGAATCAGGGAACCAGAAATAAGGTATCATTTGAATTTGCTATTACTATGTACTTACAGGAAGATGTATTTGTTCCTTCAGTTGAGGCTGGAATGTTGTCATTAAGTTCTGTAACAACAGAAAAGGGAATGTGAAAATAACATGTACGAAACCTATGCCTTCTTATTGGAGAATGAAGCTTGCTTTTCCAAGGGAGGAAAATTAAGACAGCCATCAAGATCCTAGATTACACAAGAAGACTATTAAGCTCAGATGACCCAACGAAAAGGAAATGTCTAGAACAAGCAACTATTTTGGAAATATCCATGCTAGGAATAGGGAGTCAAAACAATGCAAAATCTTAACCGTGGCCAGTGGAATATCAAGAAATTTTAAGTGAATTGATAATTAACTTCATTAGTTTAAAAAGTAAACAGTAAAAAGAAGATATAGAAAAGATGACAAAATGAAATCTATGAATCTAAAGACCAACTTAAGTTTAGAGAACTAGAGTAGAAATCAAGATTATTTAGGTTTCTACAATGTTTGTGTTAGATGAGAAAAAAAACTTGTTTGAGCACAAAATACAAGAGCTTCTTAATTAGCTACAAGGTCCTTGTACACATGTATGTATGCACACATAGAATACACTGAGTCCAAGCATTCTTATTCCTTTAGTTTTAAAAAAGGTATTCCTCCCTAACCAGGTAAAAGAATCTCAGAAAGGCAAAAGTGAGGCACTATTTGCTCTACCAAAGAAACAAAACATGCAGCAGCATGCAGTATAAGCATGAAAGATTTTGCAGAGAGTAAACCCCAATCTTGTGTGCCATCATAAAGAGCAATGTATGTGAAACTTGAATGTTGACTTATACTCCATAAGCTCTTCCTTGGAAGGCAACATAAAGATGCACCAAGTGACTGATTTGAAATGATTCCATAAAAGGAGAGTTTAAAAATGCAAATTTATTTCTAGAAGAGAAGCAGAAGTAAAAATGCCTTAGTCTTGATTTCACTGCATTTCTCCAAATCTGACATAAATTTCTTTCTTTTTTTATATTTGCTTGCCTGATGTTCTGTTTTCTTCTTGCCCTTGTTAAAAATCATGTCAGAAATGACTTGAGATAACTGCGTCGCTTCTGGTGTGAGAGAATCAGCCATCTGCAGAGACATTGCCCATGGGACGCTCAGATGTGTTACTGTCCTGTGGGAGGCTTCTCCCATGTTGCCACATGGGAAGCTGGGGCTGACAGATGGGAGCTCACCCTGTCTCATAGATTTGAACCACTGATCTTCAGGTCAACAGTTCAGTCGGAACAAGGGTTTAACCCAGACATCTTCAAATTGTGTCCCTCCAGCTGTTTGGACCTCCAACTCCCAGAAGTCCTAATGAGCTTGTTCAATTGTCAGGAATCCTGGAAACTGAATCCCCAAATAGCTGGAGAGCCATAGTTTGAGGATGCCTGGTTTAACCCATTGGCCATCATGACTTTTCTTCTTGCCCTGAAGGTCAAACATTATTTTTACAAATTTTTCCTATAGTACATATTTATATATTCAATGTACACATTTTCCCTAAAGTGCAGATTCAGTTTGCCTAAATAAAGCCTGTTTTGGATAGTGTTTTAAGTTATGTGAATGTGACTTTTCACATGTATTAGTTATGTGCATTGCTCTTTACATTCTGTAATGTTACATAAGCACTGCAAACATGCAAATGCTCAAGACAAGGAACACAATTTCTCTTGCGAGTCAGACTGTTGAGACCAATGAAATTTCTTTCCAGGTCTAGCTACAGAGGCAAAAGATCTCTGATACTAAGATCAGGTTCTTATATCTTTTAAAATGATTATATTCAGTATCACTGTGCTATAAGATAGCACATGCAGTGAAAGAAGAAATGGGATCCCATCTACATTTTAGGAAAAGAGATTCCAATAAAAAGGAGGAGGAGGAAGAAGAACAAGTAGAAAGATGATGAAGAAGAAAAAGGAGGCAAAAGATGAACACCTAGCACTGAAAGCACTAAGCGGTGGCCTCTAAAACTCAACAACACCTATTATATGAGATTGTTTATTGCTGTGGGATAATTCGATGGCATCTTTAAAGATGAAAGAGACACTAAACTGCACCTAGGAGCTCATTGTTGAGTTAAATAAGTTAAGACAGATTTATGCATGCCTTCCATGCTAATCTCGAAAGTGGCAAGAGAGGGAAGTAAACTATAATGATGCAAGGAAAGTTTGAGAAGAAGCCTGAATCTGTAGATTTGTTCAGAGATGCAAACAATTCCACTTGACTTACGTGAAGCTGCATCTGCTCCTTTTGTCAAAACTGGTATCAAGCTAGTGGGTTCTGAAAAAAACAAAACTAAAATGAGAAGCAGTTGGGCCCTCTCATGAAATTGATATGAAAACTATGGGAAACAAAGCAAATTCCTACCATAAATCAAACTGTGAATTTAAATAATTAAGGATACGTTATAACTATTTTCAAATATTACAATGCATTCCAAGAACCCTTGTAATAAAAAGCAAAACAGTGGACAACTATGGATGAGAAGAAGTTAAGAAACAATTCTGCTTGGAAAAGCTGGCTTAGAAACCTTTGTCCATATGAATCAGCAAATATTTATCAAACATCTTGAGTGGTATAGCTGAAAACGTGTAATTTTAGTAAAAGTTGTAGATTATTCAGGACTCAACAGTCAAGGACTCAACAGTTGCTGGTGCAAAACAACGACTGTTTTAAGAGATGACGTTTTTCATGTATTGCTGTGTCATGACAAATGCATTGACATCTCCGGTCTATCCTCTGGGCCGGAGACTGCTCTCAAACAGCAAGTATCTTGGTCTGATATCAGTCCTAGTGTATGAAAGCTTCAGGGGTCCACATCTGATGAAAAAAGTCATGGGACCTTGTAATTCCCACTGGTCTCCACAGATATCTATACTTGATCTTAGCCAAAAGGCCGAGAAGCAACATCCATGGATATCAGACCGAGATACTTTCTGTTTGAGAGCAGTTGCTCCCTCTTCACTGTATTTCTCATTTCATTGCATTGAGCTTTGTATTGGGGATTATGGGGATTATGGGGTTACTACATGGTATATGATCATTATAGTTTTCCTATTGCTTAGACTATATTTTGTTTGCATGTTATTTATTTTAACAAAGTGGGTGATAACGCAAAAGATTACGATCCTCACCACATTCTGTGAGTTCACTACACAAAGACAACCTATGAAACATGTCTCTTTTTGCATTGCCCAAAGATTTATTCTAAATGTAATTTATTTCCCATAAAATTAGCAATGCATTTGCAATCAGCAAAAAATTCAGTGTTCAGTTTTTGAAAGATCCGTTTTCACAACATTTAAGGCTTCTTTTGAATGGGGTGGGGGTTTCTTCTCATATTCATTAAGGTGAAAAAACAAGGCACAAAATTTCTCTTAATGCTGTCTTGCATGTCAAGTCATTGAAAAAGAAGAATAAATACCATTGGAAATAAGTTCATGTGGTTTTTAAATTATAAATGTTAAAATATGCATGTTTTTAAACTGGTATTATGCTCCTATAAGTGAGTATGTATTTTAAATCGATGTTTGGGCTTTTAATTTTGTAATGTGTCTGTTTATTACTGTATTTTAATCTGTTATTCCCCTCCTTGAGCCACAGCGAGACTGCAAAAAGCAAATACTATTAATTATTGTTTTTGTTGCTGTCACTTTAGCTTGTTCTTCTACTTAAATGCATGTGATAAAGGCTATATTGTGGCGGGACGACGACAAAAAAGGCTTATCTCATAGGGTCACCATAAGTATCTAAGGAGTAAGATAATGCACGTAATGTGCCTAACACCTAGAGAAAATGGTTGACATCACAAAATTCAAAAAAAAATTCAACAGAAGAAAAGAATAATATAAATGCTGAGATAAGGAACTCAGCATTATTGCATTATGTTTTACAGTTGGTAAAAGCTGAACATCTGACTAAATTGGGGGGGAAATGGGAACGGGAAAAACAGAAAACAGGAAGAAGTTACTTGAAGGAGTGTAACGCTTGCTTTGATGCCTGCCAAGCAACAGATGGCAACAAGATTTCTGGAAGATGTTGAAATTGCTTTCTAGATATCTGCCAGCCTTGAAGAAATGAAGAGTCCCACTGCCTCCCTGTTTATAATGAAAATACTACTTTTAAGGAGACACTGCATGTATCATTTTTGATGGAAACTCCATAGTACTCTCAAGAAACTAGGAATATCTTCCTGTGCTTTTTCTTCTTCTTCTGAAGGCAGAAAAAATGAGGGAAACAATAAGTACACGTATAAAAGAAGAAAATGAGAAAACAGATTAAAGTTGATCTCTATAGCCCAATAAATCCTTGGAATGATCTAGCCATTAGCTCAGGTGAAATACAATGTATTGTTCTAGCACACAGATCCAGCCAGTTGAGACACAGGAATTCCCAGTTCACAGTGGTCGTTCAGTAAACTTGACTCCTGGCACCAGAACAACTCCTGTCTGTTCGGATCCTCAGACAATTTAGTGTTTAATGTACAATGCACAATTACAACTATCCACCAAGAATGATGGCACCCTTCTTGCTTAAACTTACCAACTTCCGAACACATGAAATAGTTATTTTATTTTAATTTTAAAAAGAAGCAAGATATTAGAACACTATTATGTTATCTCCTCAAAGCTTTCAAATAAGATAAGTAACCATCCCAATAAGTCTTCTCTTATGACATAAGGAAAAGAAGGCTGCAGATAAGTAATACAGCATCTGCCTTCTTTCCAAGGGTTCCCAAGTTCAATCCTCATTTCCAGGCTGAATCTGGAAAACACTCATTAAGACCAATCGCCGTGTAGACCAGGGGTCCTCAAACTTTTTAAACAGAGGGCCAGGGCACAGTCCCTCAAACTGTTGGAGGGCTGGATTATAATTTGAAAAAAACAAATGAACGAGTTCCTATGCACACTGCACATATCTTATTTGCAGTGCAAAAAAAAAAACCACTTAAAAACAATACAATAATTAAAATGAAGAACAATTTTAGCCAATATAAACTTATTAGTATTTCAATGAGAAGTGTGGACCTGCTTTTCGTTGATGAGATAGGATTGTGTTGTTGCTGTGTGCTTTCAAGACATTTCAGATTTAGGTTGACCCTGAGTGTGAGCTGGATAAATGACCTTGGAGGGCCGTATCCAGCCCTCGGGCCTTAGTTTGAGGACCCCTGATGTAGACCTTGGAAAGAACCTCTCTGAAATTACTTTTTAACAGCAACTAAGTAAAATTACTTTTTAAAAGCCCACTGCCCCAAGCATTTAGTCACCATTATAGCTGCACACCTTTTTTTTGTAAAAAACTTTTCCGAGTGTCTCAAAAGCAACTATTGCAAACATTTTTATGGTGAATATTGGAAAATTGTGATTTGTACTTCCACATGTGCTGGTTATGCCCAGGAGTGAGAATTTTTTTTCAATATATCCTGATAGAAATTAGGGAAATTATAAAGCCTCAGGTAATTTGAACCCTTGACTCAGGGTGCACTTAATAGGTGCAGTTTGATGGAATTGTGTGAGTTATGGTCTTACACATCTGTAGCCTTCCCTGCCAAAGAGTGCTAGGGCTTCACCAAATTATAAATCCCAGGATTCCATAGTGTTCCTGTTCCAAAAAAAAAAACAAAACACCCCCAAGGAACTAATTAATAATTACTTTTAGTTTAAAAAAATCAAACTCAGTGCCACAAGTCACAGCAGGATGAAGAACACTTGACCGAAATAATCTTTCTCTGTCATTGAAACTATAAAGGTATAAATATTACATTATATTACAATAATAATGCAACTTAGTTATAATATTATCATAAAAAGGAATGCATATAAGCAGTTTGTAATTACTGTATATACTCGAGTATAAGACTAGTTTTTCAGCCCCTTTTTTAGGCTGAAAAAGCTCCCCTCAGCTTATACTTGAGTCAAGGTTATTTATTATTTTACTCTGTTATTGGTATTATTTTTATTTTATGTATTATTTTACTCTCTTTATTATTATTACATTTATTATTTTACTCTATTATCAGTGTTATTGCATTTCCATTATTTTACTTTATTATTATTATGTTTATTATTTTACTCTATTATTGTTGGAAGGATATGTAAGTATATTTACATTGAAGACAGTTAGAATAATGATTTAATCAGAGTTGGGCAGTCTTATCTCAAATTACAGTTTTATGTAAATATTCAAAAACATTTCACCTCCTGATGCCTCAATTAATGTAATTTTATTGGTATCTATTTTTATTTTGAAATTTGCCAGTAGTGGCTGCATTTCCCACCCTCGGCTTATACTTGAGTCAATATGTTTTCCCAGTTTTTTGTTGTAAAATTAGGTGCCTCGGCTTATAGTCGGGTCGGCCTATACTCGAGTATATACGGTAATTGCCTCCATGTTCTGGGAAAGTTATTGCTAGTTAGTATAGATAATACTACACTATGGGCCAAAGGTCTTATTCAGTGTATGGAAGCATTAATGCTCTTCGTTTTTGAACCCAAGTCAAGCAGGACCCATGCTGTGACTGGAGATTGCCCTAACAAGGAGGGCAGGATGGGATGGCAAAGATGGCTTTCCAGTAGTGCTGAACTGTTTTTGGTGCCTCTGGGCAATTTGAACCCTCCTGCATCTCTCTATGTGGCCTAAAGCAGGGCCAAGGTAGTGTATGCTACACTGGATCAACCCTGGATTTTTGGGTCAGTGTAGACTCCCTCCCTATATTTTACCACATATTTACACTTATGGTAGTGGTTGGGGCCAATGACCAGCACAGCACAGATCTCCAATCTTGCCTTCTAATCTCCAATCTTGCCTTCAAATGGCTCTAAATCCAAAACTGAATTCTGACAAAGAAGGGAAAACAAGATTTCTTAAAATTATCCCATCTCAATATTGGAAGGGGAAAGGTTGCTGTATTCTGGCTAAATTTAACATGCTGTTGTTATTCTTCTTGTTGTTTGCGTTAAAATGATTTCCAACATATGACAACCCTAAGATTAACCCGGTTCAATATGGCTTCACTGAAAAGCAGGACCAGCATAAATCCGGAGAAAGTACATATATAATGAGATGAGATGAGAAAGAGAGAGAGAGAGAGAGAATGAGAATATTATGCATATTATATTTTGAAAGTTAAAGAGAAAGTTTTCAAATTGGAAAGCAAAATGTGGAGACCGGTGGGAATTTCAAGGTCCCATGACTTTCTACGCAAGTTTAAATATAGATTCAGATTTATTATGTTTGGCACACATACTGGACAATGTTGTCCTTAATTTACATAAAATGTT